TATTGCACCTTGAGATGCTTATCGTGAAAATATCGTATCGTGAGATTTGGATATTGTTACTGGCATGTTCCACTGTATGAAATTTATACAATTACAGGTGGTTTTATAGCTAAAAAATACCAAGAAAAACAGGCATTCTGATTGTGAGGGGGGTCGCTTCTCCACAGATCTGACCTGTAACTTTGTCTGGTTTGGTCTCCACAGAAATAGAAAGGTTTAATACCATACTGTGAAACATTCCAGACAAAGCAATAACATCTCCATGAAGAAAAGCATCTGACAAACCCCCCACTAGAAAAGTTGTGCAAACTGAGTATTTCATCCACCACTGGCCATGAGCTGATTGCGATAAGGAAAACCACTACTCCTCGTGTTTCAACTTATTCCAAACTCAAAGTCTCAGAAGTTTGAATCCTAACCTGAACCCGATAACATCTCCAGCGACTACAAAGGAGGCATTGTTAGCGCACTGGGGCCTTTGTGTTAACACCGGGCGCTGGCAGTGTTCACAATTACAATTTTAAAAAAGACCAATTTGTCCGGAGTTAAGTCTCGAACCCCAAAGTTAATTAGACCCTGGATGGATGGGAAAGCCTGCCTGTGCGCCAGAGACTATTGGTAGCTACTTGTTATTCCAGCGTATAGCGAGAATTTGATTAGCGGGATCACAGGGAACCATCATCAGAGGGTATTTTTAAGAGAGGGTTCTGGCAGGGAGATCAGGAGACGGGCTAGACTCCATTAACCCAAAAGGACACGCCGGATAAATATGTCCACAGCAGCTGGAGAGATAAAGTTAGCATGAGAGAGCCCCGAGTTGGAAACAGGCAACGTGATGACAAACTCTGAGTCGGACATGCCCACAGACGAGATGGGGCCGGAGAGATCAAGGGCTTTCGTGAGTTTGGTGACGGAGAAATGGTGGTAAGTGTAGGAAAGAATGACACAGGGTTAGTGTAATAAACAGATCAGATTTTAGGATTTACTCCGAGATGATTGTTGATATAAACAGTGCATTACTACTACGTAAACCAGTGTGCTATTTGAGCCAGTTCCAGGCATGGATAACAAGGCGTAAGGACACGTCAAGATGAGAAAGTGAGGAAAAAAGCTTTGTCAAATGGAATACAATTTACAGAAACTAGAAGGTAGGTGAATTGTGTTGGGAAAAAAAAAAAGAATTCAAAAGAATGTACTGACGTTTTGAAGCGATAATAACCCTGGGAGTGTTTATGCATCTCTACTGGTGCACATATTTAGCTTGATTCATCAGCCGGTTTCACTTCTTGGAAACCGTCTGACCTCGCAGCATTAGGATTCGTTCGCTCAATGGTAGGCAGGTACTTTTTTTATTTTACCAATCACTGCTATTTTGGTCGTGACGTATGTAATGTGCCAGATCCCGTAGGAAGGTCGTTTTTCCCTTGATAAAATTCACCAAACATTCTCTTTGTTCCGGTTTTAAATCCTTGATCTTGGGAATCGTTGCCAACACAGAATGTCTGTCTTCGTCTACATCCATCTCGACCACTTTGTTTACTGTTGTGCTGTATCACAAAAGGGACCCAGACAGGTGCTTGAGTTTGACATCATGACTTCACACCTCTTCACTGAATGGCCGGTGTGCGGTCTACAACTTCTGTGGTTCGTGCAAACCGTCTGGTGTATTCCATTTCCTGACCTAGTTGCTGGAAAGAAATTAAATTGGGTAGAGGCACTAGGTGGCGCCAGCCTGGCTACCACATATTAGCAATAAAGTTCACAAAAGTAATTACTAATATTAAGATTACCTGAAAACTCAAGAAAAAATGACAACATGATTTAAACCACACTGTAAAAAAACAAAATCTCGTCAAGTTAAGATGACTTGAATTAACAGTTTTATCATGATTTGAGTGAATTTCACTTGATGGGTAAAATTATCTGCCCATGGAATATGACTATTTGTACTTAAAATATTTTTTTTTAAATGCATCTTGCTACATTTAAAATAAGAAAAACAACAACTTATTGCACTTAAAATAAGAAACAAAATAAAACGTTGCTTGAATTTCGAAAAACACACTTACTCCACTAGAGGATAATTTTACTTGTCAAGTTGAATCTACTCAAATAAAGTAAAATGTTCTTAATTTAAGTAATTTTAACCTACCTAGATATTATTTTGTTCCAGTGCAAAGCTATTTCAGGAGCCTGTGATCAATAAAATCCTTCACAGTCCTGTTTAGGGGTTTGATTTTCAACAAAAAAGGTGAGCGTGATGTATGACAGACTTGTTTAAAAGTACAAATGTCATTAAAACTTGTATTTGAGACACAGCAGTTTCTTGCTGATTTGCACTCACTCTAGTAAAGAGGCTGAAGTGTCTTGCTCAATAACACTGCAGCACTGCATGCGATTGAACCACCAGTCTCTGGATTAGAAAAAGAGGACTGCTACCGACAAGTGCTTTTTAAAATGAAGACTTCAAAAAACAGTGATACAGTTTGTTGGTTTGTTTTTTTATCCACTTACTGAATTTCATTTGAAAGCATTTCTGTCTCCCTGACAATTCTAAAGGGGCTGCAAACAATACTGGTTGATTTATGTGCAAACCTGCTTATATTATACTTTATACTGTTTTCACATAATAGTTTTCCCCTTAAGTAGCTCTCTGTACCTTTGGGATTTGGTCTTTCTGTTTTCCTAACTGGAAAAGTTTTAATTCCTCCTGGCGATATTGGTACTGCCAGAGTTCTCTGATTGGCTGTCAGAACAATTACCTTTACAAGCCCATTCCCTCAGAATTCTACAAGTACTACAGATTGGAAAGAAAAAAACTATTGGGTTTCCTAACACTTTGGACCTGCTTCAAACAGTGACACTGCAAATGTAGTTGGTGAGACGCTAAACTTGGCTATCAGAACTCTTTGAAAAAGTTCAAAACACTTGTAAATTTCGTTTTTGGAATCAGAGAAATATTGTTATAAAAAGAAATCCCAATAAACCAGTTTGTAAATATACAGTATTATTAAAAGGTCTGAGCTGCAACAAATACTAGTACATAACAGAAGGCACTAGTAATTAGCCGTCAAAGTTACTTATTCGACAGCTTGGTGTTTGCCTTATTACATGAAAATTACAAAAATCCTCCTCACTTTTGTAAAGAAATTGTACACATGATAAATACTGAGCCCCATAATACATGTATATTGTTCCAGTTTTCACCTATTGAACGATAAAAGTAATTATCGTGACAGGTCCAGTAGCTCGCCACCCCCTCCAAGGAGCTCACCGAGGGATTTCTGAATCTTACGCATTGCGCTGAATCACTAAAATTTGACTGTAAATGTGTCAGTAACTTTGTGAACTAATAAATGGATAATGGTTTATGTTTTATATTATAGGCTTCTAACTGTTCCCCATCTAAAGCTCCCAGTGCCTCTTGCACCAGTATATACTCAGTTTCTTGCAACTGCTAACATTAGTAGTTCTCAGGCATTTTCGATTTGTAAAGGTTAGAAACCCCTGATGCAGAGTTTGTATTTTTCTATTGCCTTTAAAATAATAATAAATAAACCAAGACATGGGCTTCTTTTGAAAGTTCACGCTTCATTTTGATTGGTCAAAGGTCCTATATTACACAAAATGGATTATTGTGAGCTTTACACCATCTGAGAATGTTGTTACCTCCTCGAAAACTTACAGAGTTGTTTTGTTTCATTCACACATGTTTGAGTAATCCTGGTTTGTTAGTCTATACATTTCCAAAGCTCAAAATGCTCTGTTCCACCTGGTGATGTCATGAAGTTTTAGGTAGTTTTCAAGTTCACAGCTACTCTAGATGTGCATAGAATCCCTCAGTCATCCAGGTAGAATCCATGGCAAAGAAGAAATTCGTTTTCGACCTAAATAAACATTTGTCCAGTTGACAAATTGAATTTCTCCTTTCGCCGTTAACAGAGACCTTTTATCTTTAGTTCAGTGTAGATTGGCAATTCCAGGGCTGAAATCATCCAAATGATTCTAGTGAAGGTGTTTGGGGGTTAAAACGCAGTGGAGCACTTCCTGTATTACCACGTAACTAGGGCTGAGTATCATTAAGAAGTTGCCGAGACGATACATAGGCCATGACACGATACATATCTCGATACAGTGCACTTTTGATTCAATATGATATATTTCAAATCAATTTGATACGATTCAATAAAAAAATAAAGGCTAAATCATGGCTGTGATGTTAAAAGTCTTTGGTAATCCATTTCTTGAGCAAAGTTAATATGAAATAGGCCCATTTTAATCATCAAAACAGTGAAAATGTCAAATAAACAAGTTTCCTTCCTCTAAACAACCAACAAAACTGTATCACTGTAACAAAATAATTGAGTAAAATATACCAAAAAAATACTCTTGGCAATATATAGATACAGCAGTCTACGATATTTATACTGTATCAGCACATTAAGCGATACGATATATTGACATTTTGATATTTTTGCACACCCCTACACATGACATCACAAGGTGGAACAAAGTGTTTTCAGTCTGAGAGAAGAACTCGGTTTAAACATGCAGGATTTCTGTGTCAAACATGTGTGAATGAAACAAAACACAACTCCAAGTATGTTTTTGATAAGGAAACATCAGAAAATCCTGCAATATTAGGCTCCTTAAATAGAGAAGTAACATGGATGAGATGTATGTACTTCTATTACAGTTTCCATTGCCTTAAATCTCCGTATACTCTAAAAACATATTGTAATCGCTTGTTGACCTGAGGTGGATGTGACACTGATCCCTTAATTAAACCGTATAGATTTCAGCTCGGGGCCTTCATTACTATTCCGGAGAGGCAGGCTGCATTTCAATGAGACACTAAACACGCCGACGGTAACTCGGGTCGGACGCGGCGCAGACGAGATGGCCGCCGTCAGGGTCAGGCTGCGTGTGCTCTTTAAATACGTGGATCGGGAGGGTGACATGTCTCGTGAGATTATGAGGTAGAAGCATATGGAGCTAACCTTGGGGCTGGCACCTTATCCCGGCTACCCTGTGAGTTAAGGCGAAGAGAGCTGCAAAACAAACAGCCAAACAAACAACACAAAACACAAAAGATTGGCGGGCAATGTTAAGTCTGGGATGTTAGAGGACACACACACACACACACACACACACACGACATTCATTGTGTAAGTTCTGGAGACACACATATTCCTACAATGTGAATGGGAAATGAATTCAAGGAAGCAATGTTGAACTGAAGAGTACATTTGTATTTGTTTCAATTGTATTTTGAGTAGAAAGGAACCAGGTATTACTTTTTTACTACTAAAGGTAGAGCTAGGTATTGTTACGAAGTTGCCGATACGATATATACCTCGATACATAGGTCACGATACGATACATACCTCGATACATAGGCCATGATACATACCTTGATACATAGGTCACGATACGATACACACCTTGATACATAGGCTACGATATGATACATACCTCGATACCTAGGCTACAATACGATACATACCTCGATACATAGGCTACGATACAATACATACCTCGATACATAGTTCACGATACAATACATACCTTAATACATAGGCTACGATACAATACATACCTCGATACATAGTTCACGATACAATACATACCTTAATACATAGGCTACGATACATACCTCGATACATAGGTCACGATACGATACACACCTTGATACATAGGTCACGATACGATACACACCTTCATACATAGGCTACAATATGATACATACCTCGATACATAGGCCACGATATGATACATATCTTGATACATAGGTCACGATACGATACACACCTTCATACATATGCTACGATACGATACATACCTCGATACATAGGCTACAATACGATACATACCTCGATACATAGGCTATGATACAATACATACCTCGATACATAGGTCACGATACGATACACACCTTCATACATAGGCTACAATACGATACATACCTCGATACATAGTTCACGATACAATACATACCTTAATACATAGGCTACGATACATACCTCGATACATAGGTCACGATACAATACACACCTTGATACATAGGCTACAATATGATACATACCTCGAAACATAGGCCACGATATGATACATATCTTGATACATAGGTCACGATACGATACACACCTTCATACATATGCTACGATACGATACATACCTCGATACATAGGCTACAATACGATACATACCTCGATACATAGGCTACGATACAATACATACCTCGATACATAGTTCACGATACAATACATACCTTAATACATAGGCTACGATACATACCTCGATACATAGGTCACGATACGATACACACCTTGATACATAGGCTACAATATGATACATACCTCGATACATAGGCCACGATATGATACATATCTTGATACATAGGTCACGATACGATACACACCTTCATACATATGCTACGATACGATACATACCTCGATACATAGGCTACAATACGATACATACCTCGATACATAGGCTATGATACAATACATACCTCGATACATAGGTCACGATACGATACACACCTTCATACATAGGCTACAATACGATACATACCTCGATACATAGGCTACAATACGATACATACCTCGATACATAGGCTACGATACAATACATACACCAATACATACGATACGATATATACCTTAATACATAGGCTACAATACAATACATACCTCGATACATAGGCTACGATACAGTACATACCTCGATACATAGTTCACGATACAATACATACCTTAATACATAGGCTACGATACATACCTTGATACACAGGTCACGATACGATACACACCTTGATACATAGGCTACAATACGATACATACCTCGATACATAGGCTACGATACGATACATACCTCGATACATAGGCTACAATACGATACATACCTCGATACATAGGCTACGATACGATACATACCTCGATACATAGGCCACGATATGATACATATCTTGATACATAGGCCACGATACATACCTCGATACATAGGCTACCATACAATACATACCTCGATACATAGGCTATGATACAATACAAACCTCGATACATAGGTCACGATACGATACACACCTTGATACATAGGCTACAATACGATACATACCTCGATACATAGGCTACAATACGATACATACCTCGATACATAGGCTACAATACGATACATACCTCGATACATAGGCTACAATACGATACATACCTCGATACATAGTTCACGATACGATACATACCTTAATACATAGGCTACGATACGATACATATCTCGATACAGTGAACTTTCGATTCTATACGATATATTTCAAAATGATTCGATACAGTTCAATAAAAAATAAAGGTTAAATCATGGCTGTGATACTAAAAACCTTTTTTTAGAACCACTTCTTGTGTAAAGTGAATATGAAACACGCACATTTTAATCATCAAAACTGTGAAAATGTCACATAAACGAAAATGTTGCATAAATGAGTTTCCTTCCTCTAAACAAGCAACAAAACTGTAGCGCTGTAACAAAATAATTTAGTAAAATATACCAAAAATACTCTACAGCAGCCCACGATATCGATACTGTATCATCACATTAAACGATACTTTTGCACACCCCTAATTAAAGGTATATTGCGTAACTTTTCATGTCTTGGGTTGTTTCCGTGGAGATATTATTGCTTTACCTGGAATGCTCCACAGTATGACAGTAAATGTAGCTACCTTGTCTTTATTTCGGTGTTTTTATTATTCTAAAGTGACTTGAAAAACCTACTTTACATTCTTAGTGCGAATGAGGTCTTCGCCAGTAAATTGGCCTGGTGTCAACAACTTCTTTCTCCAGGGAGATTATTAATGCACTACTGTGAAACATTCCAGGCAATCTTCATGCAAACAAGCAGCTGGCGTGCCCTGCTGTGAAGTTACACGGTGAGGTCTTGGCGGAGGTCAGCGCTGTTGAACCTGCTCATGATCATTTCTATAAGAGGCTAGACCCGAGTCACTGTATTACTTTTTTTTTTTTAAATCTGTAGTTTTACCATGAACGTCAGCTGCCTCTATCTGTGTTAAATATTTTTGGTCTATAGATGCTGTGAAGAGACGGTGTAATCCTATTGATTGATTAGCGATTGAATATAGAGACAGTTTCAGCAGTGCTCATCTGGACATTGTTTTTGTGATCAAGATGCTTCGGTTCTCATCAAGAAGAAGAACATTTTCAATTCTCTGCTACTGGCCTGAAACAAAAGGAGGAGCTTTAGAGTGAAACTACCCTGCCTTTTAGGGATGTAACAATAACCAAAATATCGTGATATCGTATCGTCAAAGTTCTCACAATAACATCGTGGACCCTCATAATATATCGAATAGTCTCTTGGCTTAAGTTAAGAGTTATGGCGCAACAATAGCTAAAAAAAAAAGACAGAGGGAACTACATAGACCATGATCCTTTGCTCCATTTCAGTGCAGACTACGAGAAGAAATAACAACTCTAACATTTTTAAGTCTTAATTCTTTGGATTAAGTCTTGTCAAGGCATTTTAAGAGGAAAAAGTAGCATATGAACAGTTTTGTTAGCTCCACAAAATATCGTAATAAATATCGTACTGTGAGATGTATATCGTGAAAATATTGTATCAAGAGATTTGGATATTGTTACATCCCTTATCGTGAGCCTCCCCACCATATCGTGAGCTTTCCCACGATATCGCAATAAATATCGTACCGTGAGACTTGGATATCGTTACGCCCCTACTGTCTTTTGTTTACAACCTCACACTATTATGAGTCGTTGTGGACCTACTGTGAGATGGAAATTTAACTTTTTGGGGCTGGACTTAGTCAACTTAGGTGAGATTAAAGGTGCATTGTGTAACTTTTCTGGGGAAGGGTCCGTCAAATGTTTTGTCAGAAATATTTCACAGTACGGATTAACACCTTTCGATATTCATGGGGACCAAACCAGGCATTTGCAGGTCAGATTTGTGGAAAGGCGACCTCGTTTACTGTCAGAACGCCTGTTTTTCAAGGTATTTTTGAGCAACAAATCCAAATATAAGTGGCTAAATGTAAAGTAGATCTGTTTAGTGTGGAACATTTGAAGCAGAGGAAGGTGACTGATCTCCAACCGAAAAGTTACGCAATGCACCTTTAAATTCCCAGTGTTTCAAGCCAGTTCCATCAAATTGAAAATGGCTTCGGGATAAATCGGGGGAACCTTAAACGTTTTTATTAGAGAAACGATGTCCAGATGAGCACCGTTGAAACAATTTCCTCAGAACATTTTGTGAGATCATCAGAAACCCTGAAAATACGCTAAATTTGGACGTCTTTTGCCTAGAGATAACAAACTCATCTTGGACTCTATTGGCGACCAAATTCATTCTGTAAGATCTGTTACTTAATATAGAAGGGTACAGCTTCAAAAGGGCTTTTAACCAAATCATTGAGTCATTTCATTCAGTAATGTATTTCCAGTGTAGTGAAAGGCAAAAGCACTCGCTCAGCACAAAACCACTGACCGACTGTGAGGTATTACTATGTGCTTTCATCCTTCACTTGTCAGATTGAATCGCCATTTGAAAAGCCCGTCCTTAAGCCTGTCCGCACTATTGATAGAAACAAAGACTGCACTCAATCACACAAAATCCCACTCTCAAATCCACCGTGACTTCTGACGAAATCTTATCTCATGATCTCTTTAATATGGAACCAATATTCAACCGAAATCCTCTAAATCTAGTTTTTGTCTTTTATCGGAGCCTTTTACAATCAGTTCAATCTCAGGTCGGCTAATCGCTACAGACGAGCTCGGATCCAGGAGAGCGCTGAGATGAAAACTGAAATCGTGAGGGATATTAGGCACAAGAACACGCCATTGTACAAATCTACTTTAATTACAGGCTAGTTTTACCCAAATGTTTGTATTCTCAGTGACGACTGAATAGAGTGACTGGAAAGCCGTCTGAAAAATGCTGCGTTTATAATGCAAGGTCATTTCAGCGAGCGCTTCACCCGTTTTGTAAAAATGCTAGCTTTTCATTGCAGTATAATGG